AGGGAAAAAGCAAATGCCTTCTGACTCCCTTTGAGGAGGAGATTTGCTCATCTTCCCTCTTTGGTTTTCTTACTTGTGTCATTTGGCCCCAAACTGGGATGTTTTTACATTCATTTTGTTTTTAGAAAAGATATATCAAATCAAAATGTTTAAGCTGCCCTTCTGCTCTTGACATTAATAAAGCTGATGAAGACAAAAAAAGGAAAAAAAAAAAGAGAGAAATCCATTGGAAGACATGTCTATCCATGACCCCACAGACAGTTCTGAAGATGTGTCTTGACTATAGATTTGAAACAACCAGGTGTCTCAGTTACAGCCCATCTCTGCCACAGACTTGAGCAATACAACTATCTCGAAGACCCATAGAGTGATCCAACAGGAGTCCTCCTAGAGGAAGCCACACTCATCAGCACATAATACATCAATGTACCTGGTGACAGGCGTTCTGACTGTGAACTCGGAGGCAGTCCTTTATCTCAGCACCAGCCCCGCAGACTGAGTTCCTGGGCACAATCCAGTTTACCTAGGAACCGGAAAGAACCCACAGTGACTAGAACCACTGGGAATGGTCCCACCAACTATAGGTTCTCCATTATGAACCTACTATTAGGCAAGTGACCTTGATCTACCTCCATTCAGCTGTGATCTCAGAGATAATTTATAATAAAGAACTACAATGAAAGAAAAACATCAGCAGCAAAATAACTGAAATGTGAGTAGAGAAGGGAGCTTAAAAACGCAAGATGACAGAGGCTAGCTAGATATATACAGTGAGCACAGCTGAGAGTGGAGAGGTGTGGAGTCCATCTGTGGATCACTGAACTAAAAGTCAGAAAAGAAGAGAACCCTCTGGGTATAAAACAGGTGGTAGAATTGGTTGGTTATCTCAAAATTCTTTTTCCCTTTATCATTTGATAAAGGTGGTTATCCTGCTTATCATTTTCATGCAAAAACCAATTGAGATAAATTATGGAAACCATTTAAAAGCACTGTCGTTTTGTCTGAAGCTAAAAAGAAAAACATAACAGCGAGAATTGAAGGTGGGGAAAGGGAAATGGGAAGTGTCCTTTTATACTCTCTTCCCAGTTTTACCCCAGCCACCAATTCACAAGTACTAAAGTTTCTGTCTAAACACACCATGAATATTTATGGCATGGGAAACTGTCCACAATAGACCTGCTCTCCTGCATTTGGTGAATGGGCCCTCTCTCCTGCATTTGGTGAAATTCTTCAGCTTCTCAAAAATCTACTTTGAATGTCACCCAATCTGTGAAGTCATTTTCTAATCCCCTTCCACATATCATCACTAATGCTCCTTTCTGTATTATCTGTTTCTTATATCCTAGTCATTTTTCTAGTACTCTTAGTTGAATATATGAGCACTTAGAGAGTAGAAAACAGGCATTCTTCATGATTGAATCTCAAATTCCTTACAGAGGGCCTGGGACATAAGATGCTCTGCTCAATAAATTATGACACCAGTTGAATTCATTTGGTCACTTCAATTTAAGGCAGGTTTGTTGTTCCTGCAGTGCGACTTGACACCATGCTGTCTCTCTCTCTCATACCCTATTTACTAATTTTTATTTTGAGAAGGAAGAAAGAAAAAAGAAGAATCAAGGGAAGAGAAGGCAAGTGTGCTCTGAAGGTGTTTATAGATACTCTTGCCTTCCTAACGCTCATTCGTGTATTAGTCAACACAGAATATGTTATACTTAGGTAACAATTTAACCTCAACAAGATCAGAACCTTCACTAAATCAGTTGGTCTTTCTGACTTATGCAATGTGCCCAACATGGATAGGAGGAACGTTGCGTTCTACACGTTAGTCAGGAATCCAGAAATGACAGAAGCTCTGCCATCTTTCCATGCAACCATCTTAACATAAAGTTTCAGTATTTTCTTAAAAAAATGAAAAATAACGTGGATAATTTACATCTGATCTTAACTGCCTTTACCTGGCAGTTATAGATGTTACTTTCTCTCAAAATCCACTGTTAAAATTAATGGCAAGGCTCCAACTTAATTGCACGAGGTGCTTGATAGTTTTGCTATGTATGCAGAAGAAAAGAATTAGATATGATTAGCTCTAGTGATCTCTATCGCACAAATATTTATTATGCACTATGTGTTAAATATTGGGCCAGTAAACAGGAAAATAACTGTCAGACAAAACAAAAAGGAAATAGAGCTCTTTCACCTACATAACAATAAAAGCCCAAGTTTTCAGAGTCATATGAAACGCAAATATTACCCAGCATCAAGCTTTACAGGTTGTTAGCAAAGGTAATAAGAAAGGAGCATTAATGGTATATGCCACAGCACTATCAAGCATACCTCAGCCCATCAAAAGCAACCTCCTGTTTCAGGCACTGTGATGTGATTTCATTCTGGATTGGGGGGTGCTCACTCTGCATGGTTAGAGTTAGCATAGAGGAGCCTGTGAGTGCTGTGGTCTTTCTGTTTATGCATCAACGTCACACAGTGTAGCTCTAGCCAGGTCATTAACTTGCATTCATCAGCACAGCTGTAGTTTAAATCTATAAATTACAGATATACCTACAGCAATCAGGCCAGAAAGATCAGGTACATTCTGCTACAAGCATTCCTCGGTCAGTCATTGGGAGCTAATACATTTCAACAGTCAATATTTACAAGGAGTTTGGGGTTAAAAGAAAAACACTTCAGGTATTCTCAAGTACTAAAGAATGAGTTACAGACCCACTGTCCACTGTCTCCTTTTAGCACTTGATCCAATCATTAGCCAAATAAGAGTAAACCTACTAGCAGTGAGTGCCCAAAGTGCATGGGCCACTCACTACTGTGGTACGTTTACTTTTGAAATTATCAGTCCCTGCCCCCATCCCCCAAAGTGCATGCTACTAGCAGGGTGGAGGCAGAAACTGACATCTCAGAGAAATCAGAGACGATTCACAAGAAAAAGTGGTGTTTGAACTGAGATCAGAAGGAAGAGCCAGAGCTACCTGGGTGGCAGAGGAAGCAGCATATGGAGAGGAAAGAAGCAGGCCTGTTTGAATAACTCAAAGAAATCAGTGAGACTGGACTACGAGGAGCAAAACAGGAGGTGGGGGAGGGGAAGTGGTTTCAGACAGGCCTGACTGGCCCAAACCACGGGTGGGACAAGATAAATTAGGGATCTTTATCTCAGAAGCAAATATAAATATTGAACTAGTTTTAATGAGGAAAATCAGAGAAACGTGATCATTGGAGGCAGTGAGCAAGTGGAAATAATGAAATGGGTTAGATAGCCACTGCAAACATCTTAGCAGAGAAGATGATCATGTGAATAACGGTGCTGTTGTGTTGATAAAGAAATGTGGTCTGATTCAAGAGATATTTAGGAGGAAAAAGTGACAGGAATTAGTAAGGGCTTGGATACGAAGAGAGAGTACAGAGTTATTAACCATATCTCTGAGACTTGTGCAACTGGATGATACTGTGCACCATAGAAAACGATAGAAGCAAAACGGGTTCAGATCACTGTGGGAGAACAGTGAGAGCCCAAAGAGCAAATCCGTGGCTTCTGCACTCAGGCAAGCATGGCCTCGTTGTTGGCTGGCATTATCCAGAATGCCCCTGTGAGCAACAAATTATGAGCTGCATTGTAAACAAAGAATATGTGAAAAGAAATTGAAGGGTAATTTGGAGAACAGCATCCAAGTGCTCATACATGAGTGACAGAAATTAAATGACAGTAGGGAAATGGAGGCACCATTGTCGCATTTTTTATACCATATTTCTTAAAGCAGTTGGGAGCTACTAGAGAGAAAAAATGCAAGTGGGATGCCAGAAGGAGAGGGGAAGGCAAAGACAGAGGGAAGGAACAGAATTGTTTGCTGAAATTTATGCTATGTTATGAGATAATCATCATTATAGAGGACAGTTTAGGCCGGGCATAGTGGGTCACACCTGAAATCCCAGTGCTTTGGAAGACCAAGGAGGGAGAATCACTTGAGGTCAGGAGTTCAAGACCAGACTGGACAACATAGCAAGACCCCATCTCTACAAAATAAAAAATAAAAAAATTACTGGGTGTGGTAGTGTGCACTTGTAGTGCTAGCTACTCAGGAGGGTGAGGGAGGAGGCTCACTTCAGCCCAGGAGTTACAGGTTACAGTGAACTATGATCATGCCACTGCATTACTGCCAGATACTATCTCTAAAAAAAATAAAGGGAGCAGTCAGATACATTTGTGTTTTCTTTTTTATTTGTTCGTTTATTGTTGTTGTTGTTTTGAGACAGGGTTTCACTCTGTCACCCAGCCGGAGTTCAATGGTGCGATCTCAGCTCACTGCAACCTCCACCTCTTGGGTTCAAGGGATTCTACCACCTCAGCCTTCCAAGTAGCTGTGACTATAGGCATGCACTACCATGACATTTGTCTTAAATAATTATATGATTCCTTTAAAAATCAAGTGTAAAGAAAGGAAGAAAGCATTAAATGAAATCTAAATAGAGGGTAAAAAATGGCCTAGTGAAAATTACCATGTTGATTATTTGGGAAAAAAAAAAAAAAGAAAGAAAGGAATAGATAAAACCATAAGAAGCAGTAGGAAGATTTGCCCAAGCACTTGTCAAAGCTTTTCTGTACCTCAGTTCTAGTTCCTCAGCTGGCATTCAGTAGCTGTGTGACCTTGGGAATGTGTTTATTCAGTGCATGCCTCAATTTAATCACCTTTAAAATAAAATTAATAAGAGCTGTCCTGTCCACATTAAACAATAATGTTTGAAGGTTCTTTAAAAATTATAAAACTGTTTATAATTATAATTAAATATATATATATATATATATATATATATATATATAGAGTGTTTTTATAGTATGACTGTGTCCTCCAGAATTTACATGTTGAAAACCTAATCCCTAATGCAATGGGGCCTTTGGCGAAGTGTGTTGTGTAGGTGGAGCTCTCATGAGTGGATTAATGCTGCTATTAAAAAGAAAAAAAAAATCTTAGGGGGTAGGTTCACTCTCTTCTCCTCTTCTGCCACGTGAGGACACAGAGTTTGTCCCTTTTTACGCTTCCGCCTTCTGTTATATGAGTATACAGCAAGGAGACCTCGCCAGATGCCAGCATCTTGATCTTGAAATTTCCAGCCTGTGAGAAGTAAATTTCTGTTCCTTGTAAATTATCCAGTTTCATATATTCTGTTAGAGCAGCACAAAAGACTAAGACAATTAAATGATTATATTATTAGTAGTAAATATAATTATTAATGCTCAGAATAAATACCTATGGCCCTTAATAAGCTAGGTGAATAAACAATAGACAAGCCTCCAGTGTAAACAGAGAAGGATAAAATCACAGTGAGAACTCTGTATATGGACAAGTAAGGTGAAGTCAACACTGACTGTTTATATTTTGAGAGGTTTTACTGGAAGTGCATGTGCAGCAAAACACAACATTCAAGCAAATGAAAATAATCATGAAATTATCTTGCCAAGAGTGAAATCTTAGAGGAGGGGACTTCCAAGCTTTTCTTTCTTTCCCAATTTTAGTTGTTTTTTTTAAGGTGTAAGATCTGGGACTACACTGTATTTTCTGTAAATTGTACAGAGCAAGTATGTGGTGACTTTTCTTCCCTCAGATTTTAATCTACTGGATATGCCCATAAAGTTTGCCGGAATAACAGCTGGTTCTGGAAGCTGTTGGAAATATGAGCTATAGAAAGGTGAGTGTGTCATAAATGTTTTATGTAAATCTTCAAGAAAAGATGGGAGAAGGGGACTTATGCATGTTTATTTCCTCATCTTATAAGCATTATTTTTCTATTTTTAGTATTTTAGCACTTGGAATGCAGCTTATGGCTATGTATACATTTAATGAAGTATTTCTTAGATACACACATTCACACACACTCACTAATAAATCGTTACATCTATCATGGAAGGCATATTTAACTGAAGAAAGAAATACAGTATATTAACTAAGAGTGAACACAATTTTTTATCAATCTGTTCTGTAAAAAACAAAAATAATTCCTTTGCAAAAATGTTATTATTTTGAAGGGGATAATCCATTCTTCATTCATTCAAAAAACTTTTATTAAATACCTACTAAGTGTTAGTCCTGTCCTAGAGAAACAAATACATGGGCTCATAGAAGAGGATGTGAGGAAGCCATCCTATGCAGAAAGGCCATTCTTGCAGATGCCCCTGGATTTACTCTGCCATATTACAGAGAACTTTCTCAGAAGTTACCTCTTCATATTGTCCTTCCTGTTCTCCAGGCCTCTGATTCTTCGACATAGTTCATTTTCAAACCAAAGATCATTAAGCCTCTTAAAGCATACTTTTTGTTCCATTTTTGTCTAGAATGGAATGAAGGTGAATGATTCTGACCTTCCACCCAGAAATCCTGACCTGTTAGTGTGTGCTCTTCTGTGGGAGTCATAGCATGCTTTCCAGAGGATCCCCAACCAGCTCCCATAGTCATTAGTTCGCTCCAGTGAATTACAAGATTAAGTGCTCAAAGAGTAGATCCCCTGGCTCACCCCTGTAATCCCAGAACTTTGAGAGGCCAAGGCGGGTGAATCACTAGAGGTCAGGAGTTTCAGACCAATCCGACTAATGTGGTGAAACCCCATCTCTGCTAAAAATGTAAAAATTGGCCAAGTGTGGTGGTATGTGCCTGTAATCTCAGCTACTTGAAATGCTGAGGCAGTAGAATTGTTTGAACCAGGGAGGCAGAGACTGAGATTGTGCCACTGCACTCCAGCCTGGGCAACACAGTGAGACTCTGTCTCAGAAAAAAAAAAAAAAAAAAAAAAAAAAAAAAAAAAAACAGAACAAAACAAAACAAAAAACCGGTAGAATCCCCAACAGTTGCCTCAGACCTAAGGAACAAAGTTTTGTTTTTTCATCGTGGCATTTAAGGCTTTAAGAACTTAGGAAAAGACAGCATTCTCAACTCTTTCTTCCTCTTACCTTCCATATAACTCCATCTATTATAATCAAATGTATCTAATGTCTGCTTATGCGCTTATTTCTGCCTAATGCCTTTCATCACACAATTCTTCCATTTAAAAATGACGAATGCAATAAAGTGCACAAATAAACTACTCAATTAATGTTTTCCATATATATATATATATATATATATATATATATATATGAACTCATTTACCCAAACCAAAGTTCAGGACATTCTCAGCACTGCGTAGCACCATCTTTTCTGCCTTCCCTGTTATCATCTTCCCCAGAGATAATTACTTTCCTCATCAGTATTCATATAGCTATGTTTTTCTATAGCATAGTTGGACATGTCTAAGTCAAGACAATTGACTAAGAAGAAGAATAAGAAGAATAAGACAGAATAAGGCAATAAGGCAATAAGAATAAGAATAATATTTTATGACTAAGAAGAATAAGACAATGAAAGGAAAGGGCCACACTGAAAGATAAACGTAAATTAGTTTTTTCTGATTGGACCCCTTTTTCAGTAGCCACTTCACTATATAACAAGACCTGTGAGTTGAGCCTAGGTTACCATTTAGAATATTATAATGTCCCAAATTAATAAATACTGAATTTAAAATTTCACTGCTGCAGTCATCTCTTCAATTATTTTCTCAGTAGTATCTGTGAAATAGACTGGCCAACATGTGACCCAGGAGTGAGAAATTTCACACTGACTTTTTAAGAAAGAATCTTATAAAATGATTCCTTTTATTTCACATAAGGTAATGAAGATATAAAAGTCTGTTTAAAAAGATTATTTAATTTTTCTATTTTAATAATATATTTTTGTGTGCTTTTTAATGATGAAACAAGCTTCTAGAATGCTGTTCTGACTTATGTAACTCAGACAGAGAAGTTTCAGAATGGCATTCCTTAATTCTCCTCACAAAAATAGTCCTCCTTTGAGCCAGTGATCAAGGGACTGAGAGTCTAACTGTTCAACCAGCTGTCAATCTACTTAACCATACGATCACTGAGCTTAAGTTTCTCTGATTTTTATTCAAGGTTATCACATGACAGTTTATTAAAATCAAATTATTATGTCTATGACATCTCTGACCTATGTAGTGATTGACACAAAAAATAGAAAAGAAACAGAAATAAGGTCAGTTTGAAAAAACAATTCTTTGCCAAATATCTACCAAACTTACATCATGTCTCCTGACAATCAACATATTCACTGAGGAACAGCTGTCTGTAGGCACTACACTAAGCAAGAAAATAGAAGACAACTCCATTCTAAAGCCAACTAGGATTCTTAGTAGTGCAGATACAAGTATGAAAATGATTACCACCTGGAGTCATGTCAAGACGAAGATATATTTCTCTCTGAAAGGAGATTCTTAAGTAGAGAGAGTGAATTCTTAGGAAAATTGTGCTGATGGCCCCTGCCAAGTAAATATGATGTAAGGACAGAAGTTAGCAGTGTGAGGGGCAGAAGAGAGTCATTTTGGCAAAGGTACCAGGAACTTCAGGTATCCCTAACAACCAAATAAATATTAAACCAACTGAAATATGTCCATGTTCATAAAGCCTCTTATGGTTCTGTTACCAATTCTATTGTTACTGAAACAGAGAGAGAGAGAGAGAGAGAGAGAGAGAGAGAGGAGAGAGAGTATAGCCCAACAAATGCTATCAAAGCCCTATGATGAAATGTAAGGAGTCTAACCCTAGGGTCACCAGACATGCCACAAAATAACATTCCCAATGTTACAAGGTCTCTTGACTGGGAAAGTATATTAGAAATTATAGTCATATTTTTTCTTTTGGTTGATAGAATGAAACTTAGGAGTCATCCAATTTCAGTTAATATCAAATCAATTCCTATTAGTAGAAAAATCCAACTCAGCATTGCATTTTCCTTGGCTTGAAAAATGATATTCAGAATTATCTGACTGGAATTAAAGTTCAGCTTCTCTGCTTTTCTCTGTGTTGAGTTGCAGTTAGTCTTGGGATGTCAAGCAAAATTATAATTAAAGCACTGAAGAGGTTAATCCATACTTAGCCTTAATGTTTTAAAATGCACATTTAAAATGTATCTTTATATTTATTTGACAAAGAACTCTGCTTACACACCTAAGTCTTTATATATCTCATTTCATCTAGTCCATAATAGAACATTTTGTATTGTTTAAGCCTTTTGGCTGTACAGATGGTTCTTAATTCATAATGAAAAGAAAAGAAGATTCATCAGTTTTCTTTTCAACCTGTTTTAGTTATATATCATGAGTACAAAGAATGTTCCCAAATGGTTCAGAAAAGGAGAATTTGTATTTGCTGTTCTTTTTCCCTCTTAGCTTCTCGTTTTATTTTTAATGTTTGATCCAAAGTCATCTCACTCCTACTCAACAGTGCAGAACCCACTTGCTTCTCTTGCCGCTTGCTTTGACCATCTGAGTCAATCCAAAATACTTCTTGAGGAAATTTATGTTTGACTATAACAACTCTGAGCTTAACTTGGAATGGTGGTGACCATCCTTCTTATGAAAACTGATAGTTTATTACTTCCCAAGTCATTCTATTTGAATTTTGAGTCACTTTTATTTTTAGAAGTTTGTGTTTATCGAGCCAAAACCCAGGCAACAAATCATGGGTCCTATTCTGCAATATGAAGCCAAACAGAATCAGTCTAATGATCCTTCCATATACAAACTTATAATCCTTTAAGGAATCTATAATATGTTAGCTTTTTTGGTTTTTAGTTAATTTGCTTTGATTTTAAAACAAAAATTTCAGGCAAAATAGTGAGATTTTTCTAGAGACTGAAAGAAACAGAAGTGCCAATTTTCTTCTAATTTTCCATCTAATTACATTTTTTATTACAGCTCTCCATTTGACAAATGAGAACGTCTACTTCCAACTCTAGTCTTTACAAATATATGCAAGACAGGATGGTTACATTTAAAATGTCAATTTAGCTCATTAATCTCTACCAATAAACTGAGTTCAAATGCTAGAAAATTGAAGTAGTTGATCAGTTAGAAAGAAAAGATATGTGATTTTACAAGACTCTTCAGCAATTTTTAAGAAGAAAGGAAAAAGGCATTATTCCTTAATTATCTAACTTAAATTTCACTTCTTTTGTGAAGCCCTCTTCTTCCCCAGCTTCCTTTACCCTTCAGTCATCATCTATTTCCCTTTAATGCTTTGTGCAATGGTCATAGCCCAACTTTGGATTATTGTTCAGTATGTACAAACTGGTCTCTAGTCTAGCCAGTGGGCTACTGGAGGACAAGAAAGTTAACCACTCATTCTATCTCAGGCACATTGTGAGGAATCAATAGATATTAATTCACTTGAGTTAGAAGTTGAATTAACTCTATTTCCCAAAGACGAGTTGAATAGATTCTATTGATTTGTTCCAAGGTCATAGATGTTGATGGTTTAGAATGAAGCTGATTCAGCTTTCCTGGTCTTATCTGAACAAGCTGATTCTATACACACCATTTGTGCATTTTGTGAACTATGTTCCTAAGCAAATGTATTAAGCTTTCATACTCAATATGCATAATACTTGTATTTTGCAACTTACAATATTGGCCATGCTCAATGAGGGGAAATTTTCTACAAGAATTTCTCTCAGATGGATAGCATGGATGGCCACACAATTTTGCTTTCAGTCATTTTCAGCAGAATTCTAGACAATTCCTAACAATGAATACAATGTTTATATCATAACTCATACTTTTCAATTACCTTGGTATTTTTTGAA